ACTCCCAAAAGTATTCAGTTTAGCATATATATTGAAATATTTTCAGAACAGTGGAGTATGTAATTTTGGAAAGTATTTGAATTTCTCCCTGCTTTCTATTTATCTCTCTTCTATTTTGCTCTTTATTTTCTCATATAAGAAAAATCATGCAATGGTTGAGCTTGTGTGTATGACTTAATTCATTCAACATTTGTTTCATTTATACCATAAATTTGCCTTATTGCACTGAAAGGAAAGTTTATGTTATTATCTGTTGGTTTCATTTTGTAAGAATCTTTTCCATTTATGTTTTGTACTAAGTAACTATTTTGAAGACAATAATACACAGTGTAATAACTATTGTTAATCTCTTATTATTTACCTATAAAAATATGCTTTATTTTTCCATAAAAGAAAAACAGAGACAGGTGGAAGGGAAGGGAAAGAAAATGAAAAAGATATTAAGATATATTACATATTTGTACCAGTTCCCCTCAAGGAATGTAAGTATTATGTACTGTAAAGGAGTACTAAAAAAGAAAATGATTTGGAAAAATAAAAGAATTCATTTGTATCACATTTTAAAATTGTGTTGAAAAATAGAAAAGTGAGTGAGCCTGAATTGGGAACCTCAGACACACAGTACAAACTGACATCTATAGATCTAAATGTCTAAAAAGAAAAGAATCTCATTAGAATGAGTGTGTGGGAACTTGGGTAGCACTAGGTCCTGACTCATGGAGGAGCTCCAGCTCTGAGGCTTATCCTTCACTTTGACTGAAAGAATGATTGAATTCTTTCACACGTAGATGATTTTTTTTGCTTTAAGCTTTAAACTACCCTGATCCCTCATGCCTCTGGGTATAAGACATTTCAGAAAGCATAAAAAACAAATTCAAATGCCCTCTTTGAAAGGAGGAGACCACAGAACCCACACTCCTTTCTGCCCTATCCATGCCTTTTCTCTTTCCTCCATCAAATTCATCCTGTAACTTCAAGCTCTCTTCAGCCGCCAAATGCTTTTTTTCTGTTTCATGAAAGCCTTTGAGATTAGCTGATGAAATAAATACTAGAACTAAGAATATTCCCAGTTCAAGATAACAGCTCTACTCCCTCAAGACCAATACTGGCCATACCCAAAATTCAGCAAGAAATAATGTTCACTTCCAAAAACTTGTGATATTTTATGTATAGAGATCTGGATCCAATGTGAATATAGTAAACATAAAAATGCAATTCGCAAAGATTTGCACATCCTGTGAATAGAATTCTTTATCTGGTAAAGAGGAATTAAGGTCACAGATGGGACTAATTTTGCTGTTCAATTGACCTTAAAATAGGAAACATGCTGATTATGCAGAAGGGATGAATGTGATCATCCCAAGTCTTAAAAGCAAAAGAGAAAGTCAGAAGTCAAAGTCCTACATTGTGAGGACTCAAATTACTTTTACACATCAGATTTAAGAGTGTAGAAATAACCATGAGTCAAGGCTTAGGAGGGCCTATATATGCTAGAAAAAAAAAAAACAAGAGGACTGATTCCCTTCCAGAGACTTGAGAATGGGACACAGACCAGCCACCATCTTGATTTCAGCTGAGCTGTACTTTTAGCCTTTAGCACTGCAAAACAATGTTCACATTTTTTTATTAGTACATGTTGGCAGTATGTGCATTTTACATTTATCTTGGGAAGTGAATACATAATACAATTTGCTTCCTTTTTTAAAATCCCCTTTCCCATACCTCCCCCTTCCTCCCTCCCTCTTCCTTTAATTCCCCTTTCCCCATTATCATTCTTATTGATATAATTAAACAACTCATATTTATGGCATATAATGGTTACATTCACTGATGTTATTAGGTTCCTGTATATGAGCTATCTTTATTCTACTTACTTCCTCTTCTGCTTCCCTTTACTCCTCGCCCTTGGTCTCTTGAACCCTTTCCCATTTCCAAAGGTCCACCTCCTTGTCTCTTTCTATCCATCGTTTATTGATCTGTTTGTACTTTACCTTACTCAAATGAGAGATACCACATGGTATTTAAGTTTGTGCATTTTGTTTATTTCATTCAACTTTGTACTTTCCAGGTATATCCATTTTCCTACAAATATCTCTACTTTGTCCTTCTTTATAGATGAGTAGTGTTCCATTATGTACGGATAACACACTTTTTAACCCAGTCTTCTCTTGATGGGTATACACGGTGCTTCTATGATTTAGCTATTACAAATTGTATTATTAGAAACATTGGTATGCATTATCGCTGTAGTATGATGTCTTGAACTCTTTGGGGAAGATCCCTAGAAGGAGGATAGCTGGCTCATACATATTTTCCAATTTTAGTTCTTTGAGAAATCTTCATAATTACTTCCATAATAGTTTAAGTAGTTTACATTCCCACCAACAGTGCAGGAGGGTTCATTTCTCACCACAGCTTTACCAGCATCTATTGTTTTTTTGTTTTTGTTTTTGGTTGTTTGTTTGTTTTGGTGTCTTGAAGATTTTCGTTCTTTCTGGAGCAAGATGAAATCTTATCATTGTTTGAATTTGCAATTCTGTATTGGCCAGAGATTACTGGAATTATTTTTTTTTTTTCATATGTATTTGCCTTTTGTACTTCATCCTTCATGAAGTGCCTGTTCATTTCATTTGCCTATTTCTTTACTGGTCTTTTATTTTAGGTGGTCTAAGTTTTTTAGTTCTTTATATATTCTACTCTGAGGAGTAGCTGACAAAAATTTTTACCATTCTATGGGATATTTATACACACTAACATTTGCCTATTTCTTCACTGGTCTTTTATTTTAGGTGGTCTAAGTTTTTTAGTTCTTTATATATTCTACTCTGAGGAGTAGCTGACAAAAATTTTTACCATTCTATGGGATATTTATACACACTACTAATTGTTGTACTTATTGTACAGAAGCTTTCAAACTGATGTGATCTCCCTTGTTGATTCTTGCTGTTATCTCTTGAGCAAATGCCATTTGTTTATAAAATTATTTGCTCTACCTATGGCTTAAAATATTTTACCTCTTTTATCTTTCAGTAGGTTCAATGTTTCTGTTTTAATGCTTAGATATTTGATCCATTTTTGTTTTAATTTAGTACATGGTGAGAGATATAGGTTTCATTTGAATCTTTTGTAAACAGTTATCCAGTTTTCCCAGCACTGCTTGTTGAATAGGCTATCTTTCCTCCAACATATGATTTGGTTCCTTTGTCAAATAGTTCAATGTGTCTGGGGATGTTTCATTCTTCTCTATTCTGTTCAATTTATCGATGTTTCTACTTTTTTCCAGTACCATGCTGTTTTTACCACTATTGCTTTATAGTATAGCTTGAAGTTAGGTATTGTAAGGCTTCCTGTTTTGCTCAGTTTGCCCAAAATTACTTTTTCTATTCTGTGTCTCTTCTGGTTCCATATGAATATTACGCTTGTTTACTCTAGATCTTTAAAATATGTTGTTGGTATTTCGAATGGGACTGCATTGAATTTGTATAACAGTTTTGGAAGTATGGCCATTTTGACAATATTGGTTCTTCCTAAACAGGATCAAGGAACAAGGAACATCTTTCCATTTTCTGATGTCCTCTTCAATCTCTGTTTTCAGAGTACTGTAGTTTTTGTTTTGTTTTGTTTTGTTTTGTTTTTGGAGAGTTCCTTCACCTCCTTGGTTAGGTTAATTCTTTGGTATTTCATTTTTCTTGAAGGTACTATGACTTCCTTCTCATCATTACTTAATGGTGTACACAAATATGAGTGATTTTGTGCATTGATCTTGTATCCTCTTATATTGCTGAAGTTGGTTATTAATTGTAAGAGTTTTTAATGGAATTCTTTGCATCTTCTATGTAAAGTATGATGTCATCTACAAAAATGATAATTTGTGTTCTTCCTTTCTTTTATGTATCCCTTGTATTTTTTATTAACCTGATTTCTCTGGCTAATATTTCAAGTAATATATTGAATAGAAGTGGTGATAGTGAGCATCCTAGCCTTAGTCCTGATTTTAGAGGAAATGCTTTTAGTTTTTCTCCATTTAATATGTTGGTTATTGTTTCATTATAAAAACCTTTTATCAAGTTCAGGTGTCATATTTCCATACCTGATTTCTTCAGGGATTTTATCATGAGAGGATGTAAGCCTTTGTTGAAACCCTTTTCTGCAGTTATTCATATGATTGTGTGGTGTTTGACCTTGCTTCTCTTTATGTGATATATTATATTTGTTGATTCATATATGTTGAATCATCCTTGCATACCTGGAATAAAACCTACTTGATTGTGATATTTTTATGATGTCCTGCATTTTATTCATTAATATCTTGTTGAGTATTTTTGTATCTATGTTCATTAAGAAGATTGCCTATAGTTATCATTGTTATTTGGGTCTTTATCAGTTTTGGAATCAGGATGATACTAGCTTCCATACACAAATTTGGGAGCCCTCCATCTCTTTCAATTTCTTTGGAAAGCTTGAAGAATATTGGTGATATAACATCCTTGAAGATTTTGTAGAATTAAGCAATGAATACATCAGGTCCTGGGCTTTTTTTCTTTTTAGTTGGTAGATTCTTTCTTACTATGTTGATTTTATTGCTTATTATTGGGTTATTTGGAATATTTATGTCTTTTGTGTTTGCTTTGATCATTTGTATGAGTCCATGAATCTATTCATTTCTTCAAAATTTTCTAATCTGTGGAATACAATTTTTCAAAGTAGTTACTATCTCCTGTATTTCAACAGTGCATGTTATAATTTTACCTTTCTCATTTCTAATTGCATTGATGTGACTGTTTCTCTTGATAACTCTGGCTAAAGGGCTTTTCCATTTTGTTCATTATTTCAAAGAACCAGCTTTTCAAATCAATGATATTTTGAATTGCTTTTAGTATCTGTTTCATCGATTTCTGCTCTAATCTTTATAATTTCCCACCTTAATTTTTGGTTTGGGCTAAGATTGTTGTTTCTCAAGTATCTTAGGATTCTTTGTAAGGTTACTTATTTGTGTTTGCTTTGTTTTTCTAATGTGAGCATTGATTGCAATTAATGTTCCTCTTAGGACTGCTCTCATAGTGACCTAGAGGATTCCATGAGTTGTACTGGCATTGTCATTAATTTCCAGAAATTTTTAAATTTCTTCTGTAGCCCACTGGTTGTTTAGGAGTATGTTTTTAATTTTCTGGGTGCTTCTGCCTTTTCTGTAATTTCTGCTGTCATTCATTTCTATTTTCAGTGGAAAGTTGTCTGATAGTACACATGAGGTGACTTCAATTCTTTTGTTTTTACTTAAGCAGGCTTTATGGACTAGCATGTGCTCTATTTTGGAAAAAGTAGTGTGAGTTGCACATAAATGTGGACTGCGTTTGTATTCTCTGTTGTAGTGGAATGGAATATTCTGTAGATATCTATTAAGTCCATATGTCCAAGGATGTGATTCAGCTCTGATATTTATTTATTTGTATTTTATTTAGTTGATCTCTTTGTAAAAGTGGGGTGTTAAGATTCCACTATGATCACGTTAGTATTTATTTGTTCTTTTATGTTCAGCAGTATTTACGTAGATAGGAGCTCCAGTATTCAGTGTGATAAATATTTATCAATGTTCTCCATTCTTGTTGGATTGTTTCATTAAATAAAAGGTAGTCACATTCTTTGTCTTCCAATCATCTTTATCTTAAAGTTTACCATGCATTTTCTGAAATTAAAACTGCTTCCCCTGCTTGTTTTGGGTGTGCACTATGTGAAATATTGTTTTTCATCATTTAATTTTTAATCTATGACTAGCTTTTTGGATTGAGTGAGTTTCTTGAATACAACAGACTGTTGGATTCTGCTTTTTAATCCAGTCTGCCAATCTGTATCTTTTATGTTGAACTCTTCTCATATTTGGGGAGTTTTCTGCTATGATTCCTGGAACATTAATAATTCCGTATGTGTTATCTTCTGTCTTAGGGAGTTGGGAGAACTTCGTGACAACTATTGCCTTGCTTCTCATGATCTTGTGTATATCCACTCTTCTTCTCTGAGCCAAGTGGGCAGTGTGAACTCCCGCATGCAGCTGGGGAGAGGAACAATTATTCAGTGACTTTCAGGCTTCCTCCCTGGGTTGTTTATTTTCAGCACCTAAATGTGTGATCACTTCTTTCAGTGCTAATATATAGTAATGAAATAATTTGTTACACTGAGTGTTCTATTTTGCTTTATGCTCAAATTCATATTCTTTAGTTCTACATCTATTATATCTGTTTGCTTTTCAACCTTTCTCTTTGATTTGTGAATTAAAATTCAATTTTATTATGAAGCATGCCAATATAATTCACCACAAATTTAATCATTTTGAGGGAATTAATCTCAAGACTATTTCAACTCTGATTTTTCTTATTCTTTTATTGTTTTTCAACAGGACCATTTCTAGGCCCTTTGAATTGAAAGTTAACTACACAAAGTAAACCAGCAACCTCTGATATTTACCACTTCCCAACTTCCAGGAAAAATGGCTGGAAAATTTACAACTCATGTTGCAAAGACAAAATTATCATAAGTGCAACCGTTAGAAAAGAAGTGCTAAAATACAGTTGACTAAAACTGACATCGGAGTTGAGAAAGAAAAGATCAGATATTAAAAATCTTTAAAGATGTTAATTTGAAGAACATCTATGATGACGAATAATGAAAATGACATACAAGTGAGTTATTTATGTTATTGGATAAATGCTTTAGCAAAATTTGCCGACATAAGAACTAAAATTACTAGGCAAAGTCAGAATTGGAGATATCATTATAATCATTTATCACAGTCCTCCCAACTCCACTAATTGACCCTGTAGCCTGGTTTCCCACTTAAATCTTATAATGCAAAATATTAAAAATGAAGCTTGGGCTAGGGATTTAGCTCAGTTGTTCTGCCACCTGCCTCGAAAGCACAAAGTTCTAATTCAATCCCTAGTAGCCCCCCCCATAATGAAGCTTTGTTACTTACACATGTTAACTGTATTTTATATTTTGTATGTGCCTCCAGATACGTATCAATGTTGGACCAAGCAAGCCAAGAGGTTGGACAGCCATGCTGAGAGCACTCCTCAAACTTTTAATTGTCAGTTTTTCAGTATAATTTATTTTAAAAGAAAATAAATTTAGAGTATTTTGACCTGTAGAAGTCAACTTCCACTTTCCAACACAGTGTGCTCTTGGAATTAACCTTTCAAGCTTCTCTAAGTCTCTAAATTCTCCACCACAGGTCAGTCATTTACCTGAATATCAAAATATCCTAAAGCCTAGAAATATAAAAGTCATTTTTTTAAAATTTAATTTTTTTCTCACTGAGTTTATTGGTACATTTTAGGTATACAGTACAGTTACATTCATTCTTGGGATCTTGTACCTTCATATGACAGGTCTTGGTTCTCATTTTTTCCCTTTACCTCTGCTCTCCCTTCACCCCCTCCTCCTTCCCTATTTAAAAAGACTTTATTTCCATTTTTTCATTTTGTCATGTTTTTTTTCTTTTGCCTTTTTTCCTTTCCCCTACCCTTCCCACTTCCCCTACACCTTTAGCCCTTTTCTTCCTATTTCACATTGTCAAAGATGTGATTTTTCTATAAAATAGAATACTACTCAACCATAAAGAATGAGAAATTAGAGTCATTCATAGGAAAATGGATGCATATTGAGGAGATACTCTTAGGTGAAATAAATAAATTCACATGTGTAAATACCGAATAGTTTCTCTGGTATGAAAAAACTATAATGGTACATAAGATCCTAATGGTATAAAAATTTTAAATAAACATTGTTTTTGCTTACAGACTCAGGATCAGGAAACAATAAGCTGAAGTGGCAATGACTTGCACCTGCTCCTTACTGTGGCAGCATCAACATAGGAGGCAGGACGCACTCCAAGGGATTTAGCTCAGTTGTTCTGCCACCTGCCTCGAAAGCACAAAGTTCTAATTCAATCCCTAGTAGCCCCCCCCATAATGAAGCTTTGTTACTTACACATGTTAACTGTATTTTATATTTTGTATGTGCCTCCAGATACGTATCAATGTTGGACCAAGCAAGCCAAGAGGTTGGACAGCCATGCTGAGAGCACTCCTCAAACTTTTAATTGTCAGTTTTTCAGTATAATTTATTTTAAAAGAAAATAAATTTAGAGTATTTTGACCTGTAGAAGTCAACTTCCACTTTCCAACACAGTGTGCTCTTGGAATTAACCTTTCAAGCTTCTCTAAGTCTCTAAATTCTCCACCACAGGTCAGTCATTTACCTGAATATCAAAATATCCTAAAGCCTAGAAATATAAAAGTCATTTTTTTAAAATTTAATTTTTTTCTCACTGAGTTTATTGGTACATTTTAGGTATACAGTACAGTTACATTCATTCTTGGGATCTTGTACCTTCATATGACAGGTCTTGGTTCTCATTTTTTCCCTTTACCTCTGCTCTCCCTTCACCCCCTCCTCCTTCCCTATTTAAAAAGACTTTATTTCCATTTTTTCATTTTGTCATGTTTTTTTTCTTTTGCCTTTTTTCCTTTCCCCTACCCTTCCCACTTCCCCTACACCTTTAGCCCTTTTCTTCCTATTTCACATTGTCAAAGATGTGATTTTTCTATAAAATAGAATACTACTCAACCATAAAGAATGAGAAATTAGAGTCATTCATAGGAAAATGGATGCATATTGAGGAGATACTCTTAGGTGAAATAAATAAATTCACATGTGTAAATACCGAATAGTTTCTCTGGTATGAAAAAACTATAATGGTACATAAGATCCTAATGGTATAAAAATTTTAAATAAACATTGTTTTTGCTTACAGACTCAGGATCAGGAAACAATAAGCTGAAGTGGCAATGACTTGCACCTGCTCCTTACTGTGGCAGCATCAACATAGGAGGCAGGACGCACTCCCTGCTCACAAGCTACTGCGAGTCTGGGCAGGGCCTTCTTATAATAGGGGCATGGAATCCAAAAGCAAGAGCCTGAGAGTCCCAAAAGAGGACAGGGTGGGAGTGAGGCAGAGACAGAGAAGGAAAGAGGTAGAAGTTGTAGCCTTTCAGTGGATAGGCTTAAAAGTTCCATAGTATCAATTTTAGCGTATTCAGTCACTTATGTGACAGTTGTGAGAGCCAGACCAGAGTGTAAGGTGGAAGACTTTCCCTCTCAGTGGGAATAGGGTTAGTCACGCATAGGAAAAGCACGTGGGGGAGATAGATCACTCTATCTTCTCTCCCTCTGTCTCTGTCTCTTTCTGTCTCTGTCTCTCTTTCTCCCCCTTCCTTTCCTCTCTCTTTCCCTCTCTCATTATCTACATTGAAAGTCAGAATCTGCTAAGAAATCAGAGAGTTGGCTTCCAGGTCCCTAAAGTAGAATTAACCTAACCTAAAATGAAAAATATTAAGGATTTCATATATGGACCGCTCAGATTTTTAATTGGTTGATTAAAGTTAGACTTCTTTCAAGCTCACAACTCCTACAGAGAAGGTTATATTTGACCTTTTCATAGATCTATCTCTAGGGAAAAAGTCCAACCCATGGTAGTAAATTGTATTTCTGAATGAAGAACATGTCAATGTGAGCATCCTCAAAATGGGCCTCTGGTCATCTCCAAGTACCAGAGACCAGGACACCTGCCTGTGTCTCACAGTTTCATCAATAGCTTTGCTTCTGAGAATGGGTTGGATTTTGTTACGGTGGGAACTTCCAACTGAAAATAATATCGTGCCAAAGCATACCGAGTTCCAGGATGTCAAATCACAACTATAGAATCATAAGTAAGAAATGAACAAGCTCTGAAAATACATGGACTTTTTTTTTATAATGAAGTTAATGCAACATTACATCATTAGGAGACATCATCTGAATCAATGAGTAGGAATGTAGTTGGAATAGGCCTTGATAAAAAATTAGCCTAAACTATCATTTTCCATTCAAGTTGAATAGCTTTTAGTTCATTTTAAAATACTACTACTGCAACAATGAATTTTGGGAGATCTATATGTAATATTTAAGTTAACAGGACACAGAAAGGTAAAATTGTTGGAGCCTAACAAAACTTGGCACATACTGTGAAACAAAGTGGTAGAGAAATGGCCTGTACACAGGGACAGGGACAGGATAGCTGCTTCTGACAAATGAGCTGATTTACCCCTTAAAATGTGCTTTCAGAAGCTTGCTGAACTCCCACTGAGAAATGACTGAACTCCATCTGCTTTTCATCTGTTTTAGCCACAGGAAAGCTTATTACAAAGCAAAAACTAAATAATTTCAACCTAACAAAGCAGCCCAGTGTTATTTAACCTATGTTTTTACAGACATTTTCTGATGTGGCTTATTTACCCTAGCATGACAGGAAAAGCATGTGCAACAGACGTGGAAGGAACAGTGACTGAATTCCCTGATGATGTCAGAAAGTCAATCATCAGGAGGAACTCCGTGCCTATGTGAAAATTGGCCACAGGTTAAACCAAATCTTGCTCGTCATGTAGCTTCCTGCCTAAGCAGTGTTTGGAAAGAATCGTGAGTCCGCAGATGAGGCCAAATAAGTTCACAACAATTTATTAGACTTTCGCCCTTTCTAAAATGATAGTGTAGGGAAGGTGGGATGGGTAGGGGAAGGGTAATAAGGGAAAAGAAAAAAATGTGAGGTAATGAAAAGATGAAAATAAAGTGTCTGTAGATGGGGAGGGGAGGAGGGGGTGAAGGGAGGGCAGGGGTAAGGGGAAAAAGTGAGAATCAAGACTTGTCATGTAGAGGTACAAGATCCCAACAATGAATGTAACTGTACTGTATCCCTAAAATGTACCAATAAACTCAATTAAAGCTGGAAAAAAATTTTAAAAAATGATAGTTATCTGGTTGATTGTTTTATTTCTTTCTGTCTTTTCACTCTTTTTTAAAATTAATTAATTTTATTGGTACATTTAAGGTATATGATGTAATGGCATTCATTATTAAAAATACGTACCTTTTATATAATCCATCTTGGCTCTTATTTTTTCCCCATTTCCATACCCTCCCTTCAACCCCTCCACCACTCCCTATCTACAAAGACTGTTTCCATTTTTTCTTTCTCTCATGTTAATTCCATTCCCATCTTTCTTTTCCCCTACCCCTCCCACTTCCCTTTCCCCTATGCTCCTTTTCTTCCTATTTCACGCTATCCATTATATTTTTTAGTCCTTAATTACACTTTCAGTTTCTCACCCTAGAGAAACTATTTGGTATTTACACATATGTGTCCTATTTATTTCACTTATGAACATCGCCTCGATGTGCATACATTTAGCTATACTTGAAATCTTTTACACACGTTAAACTGAGCAGTCACTTTCCGTCTCACCTGTGTGTTGTGACATCCAGGTTAGATCTCACAGGAAAGTTCTCACAAAGGCAGGAAGTCATTTCATTTTTTAAGCAATTCTGCCCACCTTTGCAATGAAAGGTAAAAAAGAGCTTGGACGCTGGCCTTCTAAGCTGCATCAGAAACAGCTTCCTACTCACTCTGGTTAGGACCCTGGTCACACCACAGCCTCCAGCTCAGGCACAGGCCTTGGTTAAGCAGGTACACTGGTACCATGAAGGCTGTGAACAAAACCCTAACATGGGCTCCAATGTCAGTTTTCTGCATAGTGAGTGAGCATACAGACTCAGGGCACAGAAAAGACCAGGTCCCTTGTGTCATAGAGACAGGAAACAGATCGCAGTAACAGTTCCTTTCATTGCCAAGTCCACAAGGCGGGTCAGCACAGTGACTGTCTGAAGGATCTGGGAGACCACTGTAGATGGAGCTGTCCCATGGAAACACTCATTTAGGAAAGAGCTGGGGGTGGAAGGAGAAAGTTCAAAGACCATAGCTTCCATCAGGGGCTGTGAGGAGGGAAGGGATCCTGCAGCCCTTGGAAGCATATCTCCAATTTGTTGAGCTGGTGCAATTCATGAGAACAGCAAAATGTGCAGCTGAGATGTGGATCTTTGGCTTGGAACATGGACTCTTGTTGGTTTTGTGGAAAACGATTGAAACAGAGACATGGCAATATGGAACACAGTGTCTGTGGAGCCATTTTTAAAGATAGAAAGTGAATGAACTTCAGGGATAGGAAGAGATTGCTTCATTCTACAGCACCCTGAGGAGTAGGTGATCCCTATGGTTCATCAGAGGGACAGATGGTCACTGCCAATCAAAGGGGCAAGTAATTTCTGCTATAACCCACTTGTCCTCCCTTTAGATCAAGAGAGCCACCCTGACGTGCTGAATCTAAGGTTTCACTTTGGGCCATAAATTTCTAAAATTCACTGAATGATCATTTCCCCAAATTATGATCATCTCATTGTCATTCATATGTATTACAAAGAATCACAGCTCTTCATACTAATTTTCAGATGAAATGCAGATTGCCGCTGGGCCATTGACTTTCAGAGGTACATTTCATTGAGTTTTGTCCCCATTTGTAGGAAAAAAGACACTAGCTTTGAAGATGTAAAATCTCAGTTCCAATCCTGGCTCTGCAATTTGTTACTTAGCAAGGTCTAATTCCAGGTTCCTCATCCTGGAAATGGGGATAGTGATGTCTTTCTGGCCTACCTGATAAAGCTACTGTGAAGATCAAAACATAAATCATGTGAAAATACTTTTGAAACAACAAAGGTCTATAGAATCAAAGCATTACAATCTTGTGCTTTTCTTTTCTTTTTAGAGTACAATTCTCAGATACTTTTAGAGAGCTACCAGGGAGGAAACAATGAAACCACATCTGATAAAAGGAAGGCTAGATAATAGTACTTTTTCAAGAGGAAAAAAGTTAATCACAAACTTTAGGCAGAAATAGGGATATGTATGATTGTCATATGTTTCTAAATATTTAGAAAAAGCTTGGCTAATTGACAAATAGGTTTGCCTATTAATACAAAGGCCCATCCTTTTCCATTTTGCTTCTGTACAGAAAATCTTGTTATGGGTGAGACCCTGCCAGAACCTGTTCTTCAGTCTCAGTAATAGGACAGGTTCTGTTGGCTCCTGAGTCTATCTGGTTTAGAAACAGTCAAGCACTGACATTTCAGCTAAATTTTTATAGACATGGGTACAAATTTTTGTTAGTTCAGTTCTTTCTCAACCTATAAAAATCTGAAATTTGATATTGACCATTGCACAGTACCTCTAAAGAAAAAACAACCCCATAAAATAAACACATGTTTAGAACCAATTTCTTCAATTAGCCTCAACTGCATGCAAATGTTTTGAAAAGGATTGCACAGAATTATTGCCATTTTGTTGACTACCAACACATGGTCACAAAAGTTAAAAATGATCCCAAAATTCTTGGTGAAATTAAAAACCATCAAGCAAATCAGAGTGACTGTACTCTCCTCTGCTTTGTCTCTGCAGTTACCACATGGGAAACTCCGTGATTCTGGTGCAGCAAGTACAGACACACAGGTGAAAATAATTGACAGTGGAGTTCTTGGAAAACACATGGCAAGACAAGAGATCAAGTCTTGATGGAGCACAGAGACATTAGACTTTAAACTTTTCTCCTTCAAAGACATCTGTGTAGGTAATAATCCTAAAAATATAGCTGAACACATTATTTAAAACATCATGACTTGTGAGTGATATCCTCACTTACAAAATGGTAAGACCCAGTAGGTGTCCTTTTATAACATCCCTAGGACACTTTGATCCTCTTGTAGAACTGTCCTTACCTGGACAGGTTCCTTACTTGATAGTCATGTCATTCATGTGTCAGGCTCCTGATTCCCTGGCAGTCAGTATGTGCAGGACTGGGTATTTGGGGGCTCTCCCAGTGGGGTATCTGCTGTGCTCCACCTACCTCTACTGGAAGCCAGCCTGGATTGACATAGAGAAAGGGATGATAGTTGAGGTTCTGGTGGGTTATGTAGGGAAGAGTTTACCAAGTCCCTTCTCCTACCATGCTGAAAAATTATACTTTATGCTAAAACTATCCAATTTTATTCACAATTGTCACTCAACAATCTATGAATAGGGAAAAAAGTTAGAAAGCCTTTTAAAGAACTATTCTAATGTACTTAGATGAGTTTAAAGTGAATGTCTACATCTCATATGCTGGAAGGTGGGATTATTTTCCTGTGGGAGGATAAAATCAGAATGCATTGAAATAAGATAGCAACTGGATAAATACCTATATAAAATATTACATAAGCAATATAATTTATTTCCCTCTGACATAACTTTGAAATTTTATGAGTAGCGTAAAATATAATATAATATGTATTAGCAGCATATTATTTTAAGAAAAATCTGCAATATATACACCCAAATATGCTGAACTAAAACTATCTCCTTTAACAAATATATTTTTCAAACTGAGTTGCCATAGTAACTATGATTTCACTAAATAACAGAAAAATAAAATGTCTGGATATTTATACAAATTTAAGAAGTTAAGATTTCTGTCATAAGTTTGCAGATGAGTCACAATTTGAAAACCAGCATTATAAAACATAAAGCTCATGGTGACTTCAGATGTTTGATGGCATCAACAGAAATGACGCATTGAATAATCATATGAACAACCTCAATGCCATACACATGACGAGCCTTCTTTAAGATAAATGTGGAATAGCAAGAATTATACTGCTCCTTTCCCCCAGACATGACATTGTACTGCTCTCTCAATGATATAATTTCAATAAACATATTTTTTCTCATTGAGTTTATTGGTACATTTTAGGTATACAGTGTAGTTACATTCATCCTTGGGATCTTGTACCTTTACATGACAGGTCTTAGTTCTCATTTTTTCCCCGTACCCCTGCCAATATCTGATGAATTGAATTAACTACATTCTTTTATTTGCTTTCATTTTGTTTTTTTGTATCAGGAATCAAATTCAGGTCCTTGTGCTTGTGAGGCAGGCAGTGGAACCACTGAGCTAAATCCCTGGCCCAACTACATTCTTTTCTATTTGAGTAATTTTAAAGTACATTTTTCCTTTTAAGTTTATTGGCTCATTTTAGGTATACATTATGATCACATTCATCTCTGGGAATTTGTTCCTGTACATGATATATCTTGGTTATTGTTTTTTTCCCCCATTCATCTTCCCTCTCTTCCACCCCTCCACCCCTCCCTATTTAAAAAAAAGCTTCATTTCCATTTTTCCCTTTTTTTCTCATATTTTTTCTTTCCCTACTTTCCTTTTCCCCACCATCCTACCCTACTTCCCTTTCCTCTTTGAACTCAAACAATAACAAATGCTGGTGGGGCTGTGAGGAAAAAGGATCACTTCTCTACTGATGCTGGGAGTGTAGACAGGTGCAACCACTGTGGAAATCAGTGGGAAGATTCCTCAAAAAGCTGGAATTAGAGATCCCACTTGACCCAGTTGTTTCCCTCCTGTGTATCTTACCAAAAGAATTGAAAGCTTCACAACACAGCAATATATGCACACCCATATTTATAGAGGCACAGTTTATAATAGGTAAAACTTGGAAACAGCTCAAATGCCCATCAACTGGTGATTGCACAAAAATGGGGTTTATTAAAGGATGTGTGTAGGGTTTTTTTTAAATAGAATGGAGCACTACTCATCCATAAGGAATGATAAACTGGAGACATTTATAGCTAAATGGATGCACTGTGAGTCCATACTCTTAAATGAAATAAATAGGACACACATGTTTAAATACTGAATGGTTTCTCTGGTGTGAGAAACTGAAAGTGTAAATGAGAACCATAATGTATAACAGATAATGTGAAATGTAGAATACATTCTTGAGTACCTAGATTCTTGGAAATAGATAAATGTGAAAATCAAATAAAGCCACCCATGGTCATACACTTTCCTATTTTCATCCAATCTATATTCTTCTAGTCCTTTACAGATAGATAAAATTTTAGATAGGTGAGCGGTGAGAGATGAGATAGAAGATTGATAGATGATAACTGTATAGATAAATGATGGGTATATATTTCTCATATATTAATAAAAATTTTAAACCCCTTGAATGCGATCATGAGCTTGTGACAAATTCATTCCTTGATCACTAACTCTTTGAGTATGTCTCCAATATTTCCCCCATAACACTGTTAGGATTATAGGTAGTTATTAGTTAATACTGTTAGGACTATAACTACCTATCCTCTAGCAATATGGCTCTATTCTTCCTGCTTTGCACCAATGCTCTCAGTGGCATCATTACTGGAAGCTTTTCGCAAGTTGAAAGAAGCAATTAATTCATCCTTTTGTGATATCAGATCCCTGATGGGTAAGATACAGAAGGTGGCAGTGAAATGAGCATTAGTTCCTAACATTTTTTTTCCTCATTGAGTTTATTGGTACATTTTAGGTATATAATATAGTTACATTTATTATTGGGATCTTGTACCTCTACATGACAGCTCTTGGTTCTCATTTTTTCCCCTTGTCCCTGCCCTTCCTTCGCCCCTCCTCCCTCCTCCTTTACAAACACTTCATTTCCATTTTTTCATTTTCTTATATTTTTTTCTTTTCCCTTGTTAGCTTTCCCCTACCCTTCCCACTTTCCGTACACCTTTAACCCCTTTCTTCCTATTTCACATTATAGTTCCTGACTTTTTAAAGGGCAGTCATTCACTTTTGCTTTATGAATGAAATGAATATAAAAAACATCCTTATTCATCCCCACGGTTGATTTTCTAGTTAGAACAGTTTAATATTAAATGTTCATAAAATGAATATTTTATTTAGCATTTTTATTGAAGTTAAAAATTTATTTTCCCTTTCTCTATAAATAATTTCATTCCCCAATAACTTAAAACAATGCTGCTTTTCTAATACATTAGTTTCAACATGAATAGATTTATTGGCTGAATTAAACAGCTTTCACTTTTTTCTGACACATAAAAGCATAAAAATCATACATGTTAATGAGCTTTTTATATTATTCTATAGGGTTTTTATGAAATAAAATGACTAGCATAAAACTAATTGACAATTCAATTTTAATTATTTTTATGAAAACATCACAAAATGTTTACTGAGATGTTTATAGCTAAGTGGATGTATCTTGAAGCTATACTCTTAAGTGAACTAAATCCAACCATGTGTGTAAATATCACATTGTCTCTCTGGTGTAAGAAACTGAAAATGTAAATCGATACCAAAAGGCATGACAGACAATGTAAAATTCAAAAAAATCATTCAATAGGAAAGGGGAACTAGGACAGGGAAAAGGGAAAGGAATGAAGGCAAAAGAAAAAAATGAGAAAAGATGGAAAAAATGGAAATGGGGCTTTTATAAATAAGAAAAGGGAAGAGAAGTTGAAGGGAATGGGGAATAAAAGGCATCAAGTACATCAGGTAAAGTTACACATTCTCTACAATGAAAGTGATCATTATGCAAATTTAAATGGTACCAATAAAATTTTAAATGAAAATGAATAAATAAAAGACTGTTGTAGGGTAAAAAAATATTTATTTCTGAGCAGCAAATAATTTTTCATCCCTAGTGACATCTCATAAAACTCTATAATTTAAAAAGGGAGAGAAGCTGTGAAAAACACTGAGAGTGGGATTGTACTATTTCTGCGGATATATATTTCTATTTACAATCATTCTTTGGGAGAAATAAAAAAGTCGTCCAGTTTTGTTTGTTTTGTTTTGTTTTGCTTTTTGTTGCGGTACTGCTAAACCTGGGAGCACTCCACTCCTGAACTACATCTCCAGACCTTTTTATTTTTTATTTTTCAAAGATCAGTTTCATTGGTACTTTTATTATATACACAATAATCACATTGATCATAGGGAATTCGTGCCTGTACATAATACATCTTGAGTCTTCTTTTCTTCCCCTTTCCCCTCTCCTCCCTTCAACGCTTCTTGCCCTCCTTATTTACAAACAAAGTTTTGTTTCTATCTTTTCTTCTTCTATTTTCATTTTTTCCTTTTCCCTTTCTCCCTGTCCCCTGAACCCGCTTGCTTTTCATTTTGCAGCAGTCTTACTGAGTTGGCCAGGCTGGCCTCCAGCTCCAACTCTCGCTTTAGCCTTCAGTAGCTGGGATTACAAACACATGTGCCACCAAACTTGGCCTGGATGTAGGTTCTTCATACAGCCTCTTCACAAAATTTTCTTGTTACCACACCATTCTTATTCTCAAAAAAATGTCTTACACTGTGGCAATTTGTAACAGTTTATTTCTCTTGCTTTTCCTCGAACACTTGTTTGTTTCCCTCTTCTGTTTTCTATGAAAGCAGAATTTGTGCTCATCACGGGGCATTCACCTGGCTTCCCCCGCCCCTCAGTCCTCATTGCCCATCTGCTTGAGTTTCGTTGTGAGTAGAGTTGCTCTCGGGGTTAGCCTTTAGGTGGTGGCTGCCTTGACATTGGAGCAGATGTTCCTTCCTGCGGTGACATCCATGGCTCTCCTCACCCCATGCCAGAACCCAGCAAGCCAGGCTCCCTACAGGCTGATGTTGACTGGCACGAGGGGCAGCTCAGAGCTGAGGGACCTTTCCCTTTCCGGGTCTGTGCTTTTTCTAGCTATCTAAGTCAGGAACACCTTGTTTATTCTACAGAAATAACATCGTGGTGCTTCGTACTCTATCAGATGTCCCTGGAATAGAGTGAACTAAAACAGAAAAAAGGCATAGAAAAATGCTTTGGATAGTTTATAATTCAGTGATAGCTTTGGCAAGTTTAACCTAGTGGGAATAGTTTATGGAAGTCAAAATGAAAGTGTTTGAATAGCATATTTTTAGAAAAATAATGTAGTTTAATTCAATACTAATCAATGTGGGAAAGGGTGTTTTTTTTATTCATTAGAAGACATTCTATACTTATAATTAATCCTCTGCTTGTTTTCACTCATCAATTTTAAAAATGTAATTCACTGTCATAAAATTATCCATGTTATAGCATTCTTTCATCTAGTAAGTAGTTAACAGTAAGAAACACATATAGTATAATATTTAATGCTGAGTTTTTAGTGTACTCTAAGAGTTCATGACATTATTATTACTCACACGAATATCAGAATATCCCCTAGAACACCACACAATTCGGACACAATATTAAACAAGAGTTCTAAAAGACAAGCTAATCAGTTGCTGTAAATGGCACCCCAACCTTCTCGCCATTTCCTTGTGACTCTTTTTTCCACATCTATTCCATCCGTATGACAGGCAGTCCAAAAACACAATGCACTAAGTGGGCTCTCACTATTTGAATCGAAGGGATAGTGTTGTTTGCAGCGCTTGCCCCTTAATATATTTTCTGCTCTAGCCATATAATTTTAATTTTTAGAAAGGTGTAAAATTGCCCTCGTGGATGTGTGGTAGGTCTGAGTAGTGTCTCACTGTGTGTGCTCAATTTTGAGACCCTGTTCTGCACTGAACCCTGAATCTCCTTCACCTGTTGTGGGACATGGAGCAGAAGAAAACGTCTGTAGGGTCCAAGCTACCACATACTCTCAGGGCAATGACCCCATGTATGCGGAGTTGCAAGACTTAGCATTGAAGATGATTTCAAGCTTCATTCAATCAGAGCAGAAGCAGCCTATGTTAATAACATGAAAGGAAGAGATTTTGATTGTGGGAACATTAGTTGATAGTTTGGAAGTTAGAAGAAATGACGGTTCTTGTGTAATTAGGGGCATTAGTTTTTTAAAGAAAACACAGGAAATTGAAGTCTGAGGGGACTCAGCTCTGAGGGACTCCTTCCTGTGCTGTCCATAGCTCTGTGCTGCCCCTGACCATAACAGAGAACCATCAACAGCCAGCCAAGAACTTCTAACAGCTTCCAGGAGGTGGGCAGGTATGTCATCTTGGTATGATGTCCAGTTTCTTATCATAACTGGTAAGGATCATAGTTGGCCACAACTTCCCCATCTCTCAAACTGGTCCTTGTTTCAAGCCACCACCACCTCACCGCCCACTGTAGAAAATGGGTTAGTTTAAATAACTAGCATAATTCAAGGGCAAGAACTCTTTGCACTGACCTTCTCAGCTTTCTACTCTTACTTACTCCTGGAACTTTCTGTGGAGCATTTAGAGCAGTTCTTGCCTTTAAATGTTACTTGCCCTGTGACACACCATTCTGGGAAGTCACCTGCTGAGGGGCAAGAAATCTCATTTCTAAACCCAGTGACCTGAAGGAGCAACTGCAACTGCTGGCAAATCACCATCCCTCTCTGGGCTTAGGTTTTGTTGTCAACTGTAATATGAAGATATCACATTTGAACTAGTTCATCTCTAGATCCTTTTAAACACAAAAAAGGAAAGTTCATGCATCTGGAATTACAGCAGACTATGTCTCAAAATTTAATGCATAGATTTCTGCTATTTCATCCTTTTACTCCTTCATGGTGGTTTGGGGTTATCATGGGAAACATCTAACATTTTGCTGCTCTCTCACGTAATAACAATATCCAGAGGTGTGGATAGAGTGTACGCTGTGGGAAATGTGGGGTTGAAGGACACAGCTTTGCTGCCAGTCTGGATTCTCTGTGTAACTTGTGGCAAAATTTTTTCTCCATCTGTTTGTTTTACCAGTAGGTAATGACAACCTCTGCCTTTGGATTGTAAGAAAATTAGAAGTAAAGGGAGAGGAGTTAGTAGGGTATGTCGTAAACAGCACCTATGCAGTTAGCATCAGCATAAGTGATACATTCTCCAATATGTTAACTGATGCCAGACTTCTTAGTGTGGCTTTCTCTGATCTTCTGAATAAGTGGATGGACTCTGAATAGGAGATTTGCCAAATAAAACAGAAGCTTCTCTGCTATTCTTAAATTTCAGATAAATAATGAATGTGTTTTAGTGTAGATATATTTAATCCTGATACTAAATACTTGAGACACACATAATAAATGATTGCCTTTTCCTGAAATTTAAATTTAACTGAGAATTTTGAGTTTTATCTGGAAACCCCATTAAATAAGCGTCCTGGTAAATTTTAGCAAAATCAGATGCCCCTAATGAAGGACCCAATGTGACTACTTTAGAACCTCAAATGAGTTTTTTACTCTTCCCTATGATAAGCTGTGTCACAGATCTGGCAGAAGCCAAATCTGAGGAGCGACTATCACACAGAATTGCAGGAAAATTATCCTGAGTGTGAGGGCACCTGGTACTCAAGGGAAGCTGGCTTCATCCCAGTGCTACGGTACGATTCAGAGAAATCAGCTCACTTCCTGGAATTGTAGTTTCTACATATACAAATGAAAGGTTTTGGGTAAGATTAACAAATGAAATCTTTTTTGTTTGTTTGCTTTTTGAGACAGGGTCTCACTATATATTTGAGACTGACCTGGAACTCACTATGTACCCCTGGCTGGTCTTAAAGTCACAGCTATCCTCCTGCCTCAGCCTCCTGAGTGCTGGGATTACAGGTGTGTGCCACCATGCCAGGCAACAAATGAATTCTTGAAAGAAACACTATACCACTATATCATAAAGAGTCATCACTTTAAACTGAAATAGTCCAGGCTGCTATGGCCAAAGGCACAGGTAGTCCACTACCAGCATCTAAGAAGTTCTGTCCCCCTTCTATGTGACATAGAGTCATCAAGCAGCTCCACTTCACCACTGTAGCCTCCCATCTCCCTCAACTGCTGGGCTCATCCAGTAAGTTTTTGTTGTGCTTCCTTTTTACATTTCAGCTATATTTTTTTCAAATGATCAACATATCTACCTGTAGAGCTGAGCAGAAATCTGACTCCAAGTTGAAGGCAGCAAAGGGGAGAATCACAATACAGTGACAGAGATGATGTTGCAGTCACCCATTGAATGTCTACAGGCCCAGTGAAGGAGCACTGCTTCCAGCCAAAATGGTCAGTCAGGCCCCTGAAAAGTAACCTAGACAACCACTGTCATCATAACCTGGGCAACCATTATCAACATGACTATTACCATCACAACCAGTATGTCAGAGGACCTAGTGACAGCAAAGCTAGTAGGAAACTAATAATGTATTGTCCAGATCTTGACCTCAAAAATTAGGGACTCTTAAAGTCACTTAAAAGAAGTGAAGCTAGACGTTTATTTACATTTTACCTTAGTTACAGACCTAAAGTTGTAGCCAAAAATGAATTTCATGTTGCATCCAAGGTAACTAGGGTGATGTGCTATCCAGCTTTGACAATTCTAGAATCTCTAGATTTGGGAAACAAAGAGGTCTGGATCCAGGTTGTAATGAGTTAAAAATGTAATATTGAAATTTTAATACCATTGAAATTTGTGATAAGATTTTAAGTCTAAATAATTTTTTAAATTGCTTAAGTACTTGCTATGCATACTTTCTCTGGAATTGAAGTATGACTAAAGAAGATGAAATGAGGCTCACTTGCCTTTTGTGTTTTTGTTCAAATCTAATTTTCTTAAAGCTACAGAATAGAATTGTATCAGGTTTTAATTAATTTAATCTGGGGACTCAGTTGCAACACTGAAACTGACAGAATAATCAGTTGAAGTCATTTAAGTTGTGATCAAAAAGGAAAGAAAGCACAGTCAATCAAATTACCTCTCTTTTATTTTTCAAAAACCATCGTAAAACAAAAGAACCTTTTGCAAATTCAAGTTGATTAACCTGTCATTTTCATTCCAACTGTTTTTTCATTTACCTCTTATATCCCTTTCAAACGTTTATAAAGCTTTTCCTCTCTAAGAAAATAACAGATATACAAGTGATCCAATCCCATTATCAATTTACTCTGAGCATTTTGTGAAACAATGACAGTGAAAATGACCTTTTAAAGATGAAAATATCACACCACACTCCTGCTCAAACTCTTCTGAACACCCTGCTCATGGGGCAGAGCTTATTATGCCAGCTGTGTTAAGGGTGATTCTTGCACATTCATCCTTATTTCTTCTTCCCATGGGCTCTACCTTCCAGAATTAACCAATAACCAAGAGTCTTCCATCAAAGAAAAGCTCAGGATAAGAGCGCTGCAGTCTGAATTCCATCAAGCATTTATAGAAAAAATAATAACAATTATTTTAAAATTATTCACAAGGAAGGAAGAGGAAGAAATTCTTCCAGTTTTAGTATATGCACTGCTGAAGTGAGCACTGGGAATTCTTCCAAAAAGAACACTACAGGACAATATTCTTAAGGAACATAGATGCAAAAATTCTCAACAAACTACTAAAAAATCAAATCCAACAGAGTAAAAATGTTATCAACTACAATCCTGTGGGATTCATCCTAATAATGCACAATGATTGAACACATGCATAAAATAAACAAAATACATCACATCAGCAGACTAAAGGACAAAAGTTTCATGATCCTTTCAGCACATGCAGAAACCAACTCATAAAATTCAGGATCTTTGCATGGTAAAAACTCTGAACAAAAGAGACATACATCACCATAATAAATGCTATTAAAACAAATCCTATTCTAGTGTCACACTGAATGAGGAAGAGTCAGAACTTTAACATACCTGTATTCTAATAGTAACTCATCTGCAAAGAATTCAAGAAAGCAGCCCCATTTACAATAACTACAAAAAAGCAGGCAAAGAAATCTTGAGCAAAAAGAGCAAATCATGAGGCATTGTAGTATTTGATTTCCAAACAAACTACAGAACCATAGTAAACAAAACAGGATAGTATTGGCTTAAAAACACCAATGAAAAAAGAGTGCTTGTAAAAAAAATGAAAGAAACAAAGAAAGAAGAGAAAAGAGTGCCTGTAAATAAGCCCCCACATGTAAGGAAATGGAACAACTAAAAGCCCCCAGATACTGAATTCAAAAGTGGGCAACAAACATAAATAGACATTTTTCAAAAGAAGACATACAAATGAACAACAGGTACAAGAAAAAGTGTTCAACCTTACTAATCACCAGGGAAATGGGAAGCAAAACCACACTGAGATATTAATTACCTCATCCCAGTTATAATGGCTATTATAAAAAACAACAAATAACACTTGCTGATGAGAATGTGGAGAAAAAGGGAACTATTGCACTCTGTTGACAGGAATATGTTAGTACATCTATTATGAAACACAGTAGGGGGTTTCCTCAGAAAGTTGGAAACAGAACTACCACATGACCCAGTACTGCATATGTCTGAATAAAATTAAATCAGTGTGTTGAAGGAAAATCTGCACTACTGTGTTCACTGTAGCAGTGCTTACAAGTTGAAAGATTAAAAAAAAAAAACCTGTATGCTCACCAAATAAAGAATGAACAAAAAAATTGTGGTATGTGTACATAATGGAACACTATTCACCCATAAAAAGACAGAATCAGCTCATTTGAAGCAACCTCTTTAAAATGGGAGCACATTATGTTAAGTGAAACAAGCCAGGCACAGAAAAGCAAATAGCATGTTAATAGAATGGATTCATGTGTAGAATCCAAAAAGGTCAATGTCATAGAATTGAGAGTGGAATGGTAGGGAACAGAGGCTGGGGAGAAGAGGTGGGAGGAAAGGTGAGAACAGGTTGAACAATAAATAGTGCTCTTCCAGGTAGACTGGAGCAAGAAGTTCTGCTGCACTATATTGTACAGTCGGTACCTATAGACAATGATGATACTGTGTTGTGTGCTTCAGAAAGCTAAAAGAAAAGATTGTGAATTTACCATGAAGAAAAATGTCAAAGGAGATAGATATGCTTACTTTAATTTGAATGTTATAAAATCTAGACATGTAATACAACATCACATTGTATTTCATAACTATGAATAGTTACTACATTAAAAAAGTAGATAGATTTTAAAACCACTAACAAAAGAATTTGTCAGGAGTTTATATGATTTTACAAATTCAACTGTTTCCAAGATACAATGCAAAAGGTACTATTTTGTACATGGAAATATCTTAACACTCTGCTCAAAATATTTATTTTTAATTAACAAGAAGCCCCAAATTGAGAGGTGGTAGGAAAAACATAAACACAGTGATATCAGAGGTCTTTGTCCAAAGCAGATTTGCTTTTACAGCATGAGTATGTGGTGCGAACTGAAAATGGAAATATAAGTTACTAGTATTATTAACACAAGCTGTCAGCTGAACTCCATAGCAACAGATCATACAGAAAACAGGCTCACTCCCTGAGTGATAAGTGCATCAATATGCTTTATTTTTATGGGATTGTCAGTTTAGTCTAGGAAATCACATTGCTTCTATGAAAGAAAAATAACTATACTCAAAAGGGAAGCTTTAAGACATAATCTGCTTCCATTGTAACACAACTAGAACTATACACAATTTGCCCATTGAGGTCATAAGATAGGAGGTAGCTGTTCTGACCTACTTGGGCCCATTCGGTGGGACAGGGTAGCCGTGGCTACCTGGCTGCTCCCCTGGCTGCTCCCCTGGCTGCTCAACGACCAGCTCCAGCAAGGAAGGTAGCCACGCAAGTGCCCCTGAAACACGTCCCCCTCAGACCTCCTGATTGGGCCAGTCCTTGGACCCACTTTGCAGAGGCATAGGTTGTCATAAAGAGTATTTTTCTGAGCTCTCAACTTTGAACATCTTTAAAGAAAGGGCAGGGGAAACCTGTAGTAGATCTGTGTGGAGTTCAACCCTGCAGGTCAGAGAACTCAATCTGGGCCTTGTGGCCTAAGGTCACTCTGAGTGGAGGGGATCTGCCATTGGCTAGCTGAGATCAGGGGACTTGATTCTGTACATGGCTGTGCACGTGGTATGTTATGAAGCACAGATACAGTCTGAAAGAGGCCCATCAAATTCAATTTTTTCTTTCTTTTCCTCATTGCACTCTTCAAATTCTTTCTTTTTTCTGTTCTCTTTCTCCAACTCAGTCTCTTGCTCCACCATATTATCTTTCATCTCCCTTTCTGTTGCTGCTCCTGCCCTAACTCAGACTTCTTCATTTATCATTATTTCTTTTTTCTTTATGTTCTTTTCTTCTGTCATGTTACCTCACTCATGAGTCAATAGTGCTGAGGGAAAGTGAGACCCTGTTACTGTTAAGGGGATATATTCTTGTCCTTATTCTTGCACTCTGTCCATCCCTTTTGAATTTAATAATTTCCTAAAGATTGTATGGTCCTTCTATGTCCTCTGGCTTCACTTGAAACATTCTCCAATTCTTTCACTTATCTACTCCTCTCATCCTAACTCTGTCTAAGCCCCCATCCTAAATAGTAAAGATGCTATATTGAAAAGTGTATTCCACTGCAAAAATATTTTGGGCTGCTTCTTGATTTTAATTTAATTCACATGATTTAAAGGTAATAGATTGACTACCGCAAGTGGTCAATTTGCAAGTAGTGCTTGATCCTATTGTGCTGTTGATTGTATCAATTGGGATAAAGGATTGTGATTGATTTAATGAGTTGTATTCTTTGATATTATGAAAATGAGAATGTCTATGAGTCATTAGAGGCTCAAAAGCTAAAGCGCAACTATATCAGGAAGATTTAAGTAATAATCCAGAAATTAAACCAAGGACAACCAAACAACAAAAATAAAAATGAGAAAACACTTAAGCAAGACACAAAGACAGTCTTCCAGTTCACCAATGGCAAACAGTAGGGCAAAGGAGGACGACAAGTCTGATAGTGAACCAGCAGGACACCCTGAACCCATAGCACAGGAAGTAACAAAAGGGATCAATAAGGCTCTAGAAAAATTCAAAAAAAAAACAAGGACAACCAAACAACAAAAATAAAAATGAGAAAACACTTAAGCAAGACACAAAGACAGTCTTCCAGTTCACCAATGGCAAACAGTAGGGCAAAGGAGGACGACAAGTCTGATAGTGAACCAGCAGGACACCCTGAACCCATAGCACAGGAAGTAACAAAAGGGATCAATAAGGCTCTAGAAAAATTCAAAAAAAAAATTTCCC